TTAAGAAAAATTCTCCCATAGTTTAGAGATACTTTCTGAGGTTAGCTTGAGTTACCAGAAAGCTAAAGGCTACACTGATATACAAGATGGAGGGTTACAATATAAATAGGAGCGTGGTTCATTAATATATTACCTATTTATAGGTGTTATCTTACAGTAATTATTGTTATTAGTGGTATAACCAAAGCTTGATGTTATTTTTTTAAGATGACTCCCTCCTGAGAGGATTTGGCATTTCAAGTGTTTTTAAACCACTGCCAACATTTTAATGCTATATTCTAATCACATGATTAACTGTCAATATGTTCCTTGTGTGGAAAAAAGTTTACTTGAGCTGAGTGTTCATTACCTCCACTTTAGATAGCTTTAACAAGAGAGAAAATAGAAAAGAGCCTTGGCAAGACTATGTGCTCCTTGCCTTATGTAAGCTTCCATCCCACCTGCTGTGGGCAGAGCAGAAAATGGAAGGGAGGAAAAGCGGGGTGCTAAGCTCCTGCCCACGACTCCACATGGACAGGAGGAGGACCCCACTGTGTTTACACACCAGTGAGAGAAATGCATGGCCATACACGTTCTCAGGCCTCGATTCTCACCCTTCCTGCTTCCATGCCTCTGGATGGCTTGGTGCTCTTCAATACCGAAACTGCTCTTCAAGGAAGAGTTGCAGTTTGTCCTGATCCATGGCAACTTGGGTCAAGCCATGCAGCCTTCACGGTCAAGAAATGAGGCCCAGAGACCCAGAACCTGGCTACCTTTTGGAATTTCATTACTGGCTTTGTTGTTAAGATGTCCTGTGGAGGTGGGAGACTGATTTGGTATACTGTTAGGTATATACAAGATCCTGTAGGATGCAGGAAGCCACAAGGACTATGTTGTATGAATTTATGTGAAAGACTAAATCCCTCAGCGCCCTCCTTCTGGGAGAGGATGTTCTGGCGCTAGCAGGGACCTTGGTCTGAGCATAAAAAGAGTTTTGTTTTTGTTGTTGTTGGTGGTGGTTTTAAATTTGAATTTTACCATTTCTTATTCAGATGTTACTAAATTCCTAAACTTTATTTTTAGTGTTGTCTTTTTCTTTATCTTAGAGGAAAAGGAATATTGGAAATGGGAGGGCTTTGAAGAATAGCTAAGAAGTGTTGGCTTTCTTGTCCAGTCTCCCTGACCTCATAACTTCCGCTGGCAAGGAAAAGAGGAAGAACATTCCAGGGAGAGCGATCTATAGAAGCATGGAAAGAATGGCAGAATAAAGCTCAAAAAGGTGATCTGGGGACAAATTGAGAAGGCTCGGGAATGCCATAATAGTTGGAGTTTAGAGTTTGTTCCATGGGCAATAGGCTTCGAGAGACATGATCACATTTATTTTTTAAGTAAATGACCTTAATATTAGTAATAGAGGATGAATTGGGAGAGTCCAGGATATCAATCAGAAGGGAATTTAATA